TGGCACCATGGATAATACCAATCCCTACACAGCCATGTGTCACTAACAATAAGAAACACTGTGAGAAATGCAGCGTTAGGCGATTCCATCTTGTGAGAAGAACACCGAGCTCACTTACACAAGCCTAGACCATACTTTATGTGACCGGCAGTGTAAGAGGTTTATTTACACCAGCAACACCATCAGTTTACACCAGTTTACACCATCACCACTAACACATGAATAATGTCTTGCACTAGGACTTAATGTCAGCTACTCCCTCTCTAGCAATAGGAAGGTTTCAGCCAAGGTATAATCTTTTAAGTCACTGGTCTATATGTAGTCTGTCATTTAGAGAAAGCTCATTATGTGGTGCATGACTACACATACTATGTTTTTTCCTATACGTTCATATCTATGATAAAATTTAATTTATAAATTAGGCACAGTAAGAGATTAAGAACAATAACTAATAATAAAATAGAACAATTATAACAATGTATTGCAATAAAAATTGTGAGCATGGGGTGTCTCTGTCTCTCTCTCTTTCTCTCTCTGTCTCCTTATTGGGAGGAATCCAGAGAAAAGCCCACGCAGACATGGGGAGAAGGTGCAAATTCCACAGACAGTGGCACAGTGGGGAACTGATTTTTTTTTTCCTCATCAACATTATAACCAAATGCCATTACTCAAGGACATGCTGTTAAGCGTGGATACAGTGGACAAAGGAATGATTCACATCCCAGGCAGCTTGGAGCAGGAGGCATGAGATTCCATCCCACTACTTGGAATGGCAAGCAATTCAAAACTTAAGAATTGTTTATTTCTGGAGTTTTCTACATAATATTCTCAGATCAAGGTGAACCATGGGTAACTGAAAACATATAAAACGAAGCCTAGGATAAGGAGGGACTACTGTATGCCCTTATCTGTCTCCACAACAAAAGTCTATTCTTCAGGGGAAAGACCTTGCTGAGCAGCATTCCTCACAGTCCAGACCCATCTAGCCTTCCTCTCTCAACTGGAGGGGGAGATAGAGAAAACTAATAAACATGCAGCAAGGTCAGAGCAGGAGACACAAAAATGTAACTATGAAACCATACAACACTCCCCTCCCTTTACCAACAGGCCTCCAGTATAATAACAGGGGATTACAGCAAAAAGAGATGCAAAACACAGACTCAGTTCTTAGAGAAGCCCACAGACAACAGGAGAGACAACAGTAAGGACACCAGATAAATGTGATGCCTCTGATAACAGCCCAACTCCTAGCCAGACTGAAATTAAACCTCACCCTACGCCCATTTACCTCAGTTCCTATTACCCACACATCAGGTCACTTTTAATAAAACATCCCACAGCATGCTAACTAACGACAAGAAAACAGGCAGGGAGATCAGGACACACACTTCAAATGATAATCCGATGAAAAATGAAGTTGGCTCGGGCCATGGTAGCAGTGGAAGTGGTGAAAAGTGGTCAAGATCTGGAGGGATTCTGAAGACAGCAGAGATGAATTGCTAATGAAATGGAGGTAGGATGTGAAAGACAAAGTGGAGGTAGGGATGACTCCAAGGTGTGGACCACGCTGCAGGGAAAATGGAGCTGCCATCAACTGAGATAGTAAAGGCTTCAAGTAAAACAGTTGGCTGGAGTAAGGGTTCAGGAATCCAAAATTTTGGAGGAGGTGGTTAATCCTCACCTGAGGATATTATTCTATTGATTTTTAGAGATAGTGGAAGGAAGGGAGAGAGGCAGAGAGAGAAACATCAATGTGAGAGAGAGACATCCATTGATTGCTTCCTGCATTCCCTGACCAGGGCTGGGGATCCAGCTTGCAACCGAAGTTCGTGCCCTTGACCAGAATCGAACCTGGGACCCTTCAGCACACAGGACGATGCTCTATCCGCTGAACCAAACCAGCTAGGTCAGGAATTCAATTTTTAATGTCTCAAATGATATCATAAATACTGGCCAGTTGTGTATTCATTTAACTAATAGTATTCGGAGTGCTTAATACTATAACAAAAAGACATAAAACTATATTGGAAACCAATAAAATGCTTAATAATTATTTTACCAACTAAATGGATAAATGAACAAATGATCAAATATTTTAACCATGTCACCAAAATAACTTCACCAGAATCATAATCATCACTGTCAACAGTAATAGCAGGTAAGGCTGGAAAACATCTAGGAGTTTTCAGCCAAGTCCAGGACGGAGCCTGTTACAGACACTCCTGCCCCTCCTTTTTTTTTCAGAGTAAGACAATGTGCCTGGGTACTTGCCCTCCCAAAATACAGATACCATTCCCCAGCCCTCTCTGCAGCTAGGTGAGGCCAATAGTCTGTGAGCAAAACATGGGGTGTACAATCTCTGAGGTCTGCTCATAAAGACAAAGGGCATACCCACCATTTGCCCTTTCTCTCCCTCTTCCTGTCAGCTGAAGTGCTGATGTGACAATGAGCCAGTTTGGACCACATGGACAGGGTGACACTACTGAGATGGCAAGGCAACAAAAGAGAAGGGGCTGGGACCCTGAAAATCCATGGCGCCATCTTATCAGCGCTGGGCTGCACTTACTTAGATTGTTGCATGAAAGAATGAGGCTTCTATCTTAGTCAAGCCACTGTTATCATGGCTCCTTGTTACAGGAACTGAAAACTGAACCAATAAATTTAACTCCTCAGAACAATCCTGGGATGCAAATAATGTGCTGATATTTTTCTTATAATTCCTTATTATGTTTCTGTTTTAAACAGCAGGAAAATAAGCTGGTAGCACAGCCTTGTTTTATATATTTACATCTACCAGTGAAGAAAAATGAAAAGTATTCTGTAAGAACTGATTACAATGATTTTTACAGCAAGATGTAGGTTCAGGCATCCAATAAACTATAGTACTCACTACCTAAAAAAGCCACAGGGTGAAGATTTTTTCCATGAGAATAGGCTATGCACTGATTTCACTCTTATGTGGGATCTAATAAACAAAATGAACTAATAAGCAAAACAGAGCCAGACTCATAGATAGAGAGCAGGCAGACAGCTGTCAGGGTGGAGTTGGTGGGGGTGGAAGGATTGAGAGAAAAAAAGAGAAATAATCGAAAAAATAAATAAAAATAAAGTTTCTAGTCACCTTAAAATTCCTGCAATCTATTAAACAGTATAAGTACCAACAATTAGTTCCTTGGCTTCCAGACATGTGTTGCTCATTCACAGTAGGGGGCTTACAGGAGGCGGTGATCAATGATTTTCTCTCATCACTGATGTTTCTATTTCTCTCTTCCTTTCCCTTCCTCTTTGAAATCAATCATATATATATATATATATATATATATATATATATATATATATATATAATTTTTAATGCAATACCTGACTATTTAGTCAGGGGCACTGACCTCTTTTCACTCAGACTGTCAAATAAAAAAATGACAACAGCCAACGCAATAGCCATCCGATGTGAATGAATAAAACATATACCCCTTTTTTTTTGTCAGATCAGGAAAATGATATTTTTTGTTGTGTCACAGAATTTTAGCAATTCATTTACGTGTGCCATGACATGAACAAGTTGAAAATCACTGGTCTAGATAATTGTGTATATATCCTTATATACATCAGCAGGGCACTCCATACAATTGGAACGGTTTTGTACTTTTAATATTTAAATACTGGTACAGAATTGTGTTAGGAAAAGTAGACGACCAGTTCAAATGCAAGCAAACATACTTTAAAGCAGTGGTTCTCAACCTTCCTAATGCCGCAACCCTTTAATACAGTTCCTCATGTTGTGGTGACCCCCAATTTCATTGTTACAAATTGAACATAATTAAAGCATAGTGATTAATCACAAAAACAATATGTAATTATATATGTGTTTTCCGATGGTCTTAGGCGACCCCTGTGAAAGGGTCATTCGACCCCCAAAGGGGTCGCGACACACAGGTTGAGAACCGCTGCCAAAGGATACATAACTAAAAAATGGATTATGAAGAACAAGAGTATTTGGCACTATTTACTATATTTCTGCACTTAAAATGTAAACTTATTTTCATTCAGTTGTTTTCAAGCTTCCATAACCATTTAATTGACTAAAACCAGAGAAATCCTTTGTAACAGCTTTTGACTATTCACTTACAGATCCTGAGGTTTGCTAAAATAACTTTCTAAATCAAAACCAATAAAAAAAAATATGATCAATCTTTACATGGTACAGTGAAAAGTTTATTTCCCCAAGTGACTTAAGAACTCAAATAAGAATGTGCTCACTACTTGGCAGCACCCCAGTTATTTGGCCTCTGCAATGCTAAGGATAACTCACGCTTGCATGCGTAAGCACTGACACCTACAGACACAGTTCCGAGGTTCAGAGGGAGACTTACCTCCAAATCTGCTAAGTGTGTCAGTGTCATTCTTGTGGTGTTTGCTCAGGTGATGCTTACAAAACAGAAGAGCGCAAGTGTACTGAACTGTTTTAACCTGACTTTTATTACACGCTGAAAGAGGTGACGTCCATCAGTACTTTAAAATTTTTCTAAAATCTTATGGTAGTCGATATTTTTACATAACAAGAGTTCTAATTCCTCTGGACCAGTGGTTCTCAACCTTGGCTGCACATTAGAATCACCTGGGAATCATCCTCCGGAAATTCTGTGTCTTTGTTATGGGGTGGGGCCACAACATTAGTAACAAAGAAACAGAATTTCCGAAGGATGAGGCCCAGAAATCAGGATTTTAAAAAGATTCCCAGGTGATTCTAATGTGCAGCCAAGGTTTAGAACCACTGCTCTGGACAAATGTAGCCAAGGGCTTGGAAAAATACTTCCCTATTCCAAATATGGAACACTGATATGTCTCTAAAGTGCACTGCTCAACTCTTAAAAGATAAAAAAAATGGGCATTGCATAAAAGGACCTCTTCATCCTTAATGCTGTGTTTTAAGGCAAGAAGCATAGATATAAGAAGGCAGAAAGAGTAAACTGTCTAGGTAAAAGCATAAAATAAATTATTACCTTTAGCTGGGTTTACTTTTATCCCTGACCTATACAGCATTTCCTCGTTCTGCCAGTCTCCATTCCTGATTGCAGTCTTGAGTCCATAGAAAACAATTAATGTAGCTGTAGCATAAAAAATCAAGCTCTTGAGAAACCGCTTCTGGACTCTGACATAAAGGGCTCTGGCACCCACTGTAATGAGGAGGCAGAAGCCCATGCTAGGAATATACAATACTCGCTCTGCAATTACAAAGCCGACATAGAAAAACAGGTTCGTGGCAGGAACAAAGGGTATGATTAACAAAGATAAAGACAGTACAACAATGTTCTCTGTAGAAGGAAGTGGTGTTGTCTGTGGTACATTATTTTTAATGCCATTTTCTACTTTGGATGCAAAGCTGGGCTTAATCTCTGAGTTCCGGTACTCCACATCTGAATGGCAGCTATGTCCATTTGCATTCTGCTTGCCATTTGTTACAAATTTCCCATAGTATTCGCTTTCCACGCTTGGGCTCTTTAAACCACAGTAGGCAAGAAGGAGGAGTCCAATATAGAAGGCCACAGTGTGTAGGTTTCTCCAGTCACAAATTGTTTTGAGCAGAGGCACGGCATCCATTGACCAATCAAAACTGAGGGTATCAGGGCAGAGTAACAGCCAGAGGTTCTTGGTTGGCAAGTAGAAGAAGGTGAGTGTGCGAGCCAGGAGACTATCAGAATCAGCAGCTGGGTTGTCAGAGTTGGAAAAGCTCGGTGGTTTGTTTCCCATCCAGTATAAACGGGCACCCAAAAGGGAAGTCCCCCAGAGAGTTAACAAACTCATGCTGAGGAAAAGAGACAAATTCTTCCCCTGAAACCAAAAGAGAGGGGGGGAAAAATTAAGATGATCATCAATACAGCATGGTGACACTTCACTTAACATTAGAGATGAAATACATTTTTAAATGGACAGTTAACACAGCATTATGTCTTAAATATATGACTTCACCCACCTCCCTTTTAAACATGTTTAGGAAAATTTTAACCTAAAAAAATTGACTGTGGAATCCTACTTTGTATATAACTTTTGGTGAGTAGTTTTTCTTCTCCTTCCTTTTCTAACGGACCAATAACCAAAGCTTCAATGTCTTGACCTCTACAAAATGAGTTGTATATATTTCCTTCTTGGGATTAGCATCAGGTCAAAATAAGACAACAATATGAAAGTACTTAGCATTCTTAGTAGGCATCTAATAACTGAGTTCTTTCATTTTATAATTCAGATACTGGGGAAAAACAAAGAACAGTCATGACAAAAAAAAAAAAATATGGGGAGAACAGGATTCCATTCAGCTCGAAAGTAGGAATAGCATTTCGCCATGTCTATGCCAGTCCTGACTTCATTGTCTTGAATATCCTTGCAGAATTTATAAACCAGGCTTTCACCTGTACCCCAGGCTGCCACTGGCATCAGTGACATCAACCATTTAACAACACTCCTCACGAATGTGAAGTTTTTCACGTTGATGACCACTTTTTAGGAATACAATGACTTTAAAACAAACTTATTTTATGAGAAATAAAATCGTGAGATGAAGGCAAAAGGACATCCTTATTAATGAGAATATTGTGGCAAACTCTTTCAATATGAATAAGAATTTAGTGACCTCAAACAATCTAAGTCCTGAAATGAAGAAAATATTTGCAAATAATACATTAATATCCAAAATATATACATAATTCATACAACTCAAAGAAAAAAAACAAATACAATTACAAAACTGAATAGACATTTTTCCAAAAAAAGATATAATAGATGGCCAATAGGTACATGAAAAGATGCTCAACATCACTAATCATCAGAGAAATGCAAATCAAAACCACAACCAGATATTACCTCACACATTTCACAACGGCTATTATCAAAAAGATAAGAAATAACAAGTGTTGATGAGGATGTGGAGGAAGGGGAAACCTTATGTACAGTTTGGTGGAAATATAAATTGGTGCACCCACTATGGAAAATAAACACGGAAATATGCCTCATTATAATTGAATTACCATATGATCCAGCAATTCCACTTCTAGTTATTTATCTGAAGAAACTGAAATTACTATGTCAAAAAGATATCTCGCATCCCCATGTTCACTGCAGTATTATTTATAGCAGCCAAAACAAGTGTGAGCAGACCATCTCAAGTGTGTATCGATAGATGAATGAATAAAGAAAATGTAATATATATATATATATGTATATATGTATCAAATGGAATATTACCCAGCTATAAAAATAAGGAAACTCTGCCATTTGCCACAACATGAATATACTTTAAGGGCATCATGCTAAGAGAAATCAGTCAGACAGAGGAAGAAAAATACTGTATTATCTCACAGGCAGAATCTAAACAAAACCCCACAAACTCACATAGTCAGAGAACAAATTGATGGGTGGCAGAGATGGGGGAGGGATGTAAATGGCCAAATGGCAAAGGTGGTCAAAAGGTACAAGTTCCAGTTATAAGATAAATAAGTCTGAGGATGTAATGTATAGTGTGGTGATTACAGTTAACAATGCTGTATTATTGTATATTTGACAGCTGATAATAGAGCAGACCTTAAAAGTTCCCATCACAATAAAAAAATAAAATTTTTGTAACTATGTGTTACAAAACTTGACTTTCTTGTGGTAATCATTTCACAATATAAACATACATCAAATTATTGTTTTGTACACCTAAAACTAATATAATGTCTATTATCAATTATATCTCAATTAAAAAACAATCCACAAAGAGCAATATATCTTGAGCATGCACAATTCCATTATAACCATGCTATATTATAAGCAACTGCTACTACACTGTCCTTCCCAGACACTTCTCATTCACCTCTCTCACTGCTAGAAGCCACATAACTGGTCCTATCTGCTCTATCTCCACTCTGAACCTAATGATCTCAGCAAGATTTATGATTTTAAAATTATTAATATTTCCTAATAACTCCATCTGCATCTCCCTTCACCTCCATAGTCCTTTATTCAATTGTATGTTGAGCATATACACTTAGGTACCTCAATTCAAAATGTCCAATATACAACTTGACTTCCTACCTTCTCCAATGAAACAGTTCCTCTCCAGTCATTACACCTGAGATGATGGTAATACTATATAAGCAGTTTCTTCTTTACAACCTCTATCCTTCCCTCTACATTCCATGCATTACACCTAGTCCTCTCACTTTCACTTCAAAATATATCCTGATGTGTCCATTTCCCTCCATCTCTTCTGTCATCACTCTAGTTCAAAATGCCAAGACTTGGATTATCAGATTAGACTCCTCCTAACTGGTAATCTAACCCTTTCCAACACAGATGATAGTGTTCCCAAATTTTAAAATCATTAATGGGAGCTTATTCTAACACCTTAGAAGTTTTTAGCTCTACAAAACAATGTTTATAATTCATTGAGCAGTTTTCTTGATGGTATGTCCACTTTTATATTTCAAAATTATTTTGAACAGTATTTTAGGTATTTAAAAAGGGGTAATTCTGGGTATAAAAGACAAGGAGTAAAGGGAGATGAGGTTAGAAGTTAAAAATTCAGAATAAGAAAAATTAGAAACAACAAATGGAAATTTTAAGAGGTGGGATTGTTGGTTTATATCAAATCACAATAATGCTAAATTCATAGAATTAACTGTCTCAGTGTTTTAAAAACTTCTTTGGTGGACCTGGCTGGTTTGGCTCAGTGGATAGAGCATCGGCCTGTGGACTGAAGGGTTACGGGATCTATTCTGGCCTGGGGCACATGCCTGGGTTGGAGGCTCAATCCCCAGTAGGGGGTGTGCAGGAGGCAGCCCATCGATGATTCTCATCATTGATGTTTCTCTCTCTCTCCCCCTCTCCCATTCTTTCTGAAATCAATAAACATATTTAAATAAAAATGAAAACTTCTGTGGCAGACCTCTGCTCAAAATTAACTTTTGTAATGCTATTTGGAATTTTTAATGGCAGGGGAGTAATATGTTCAGTCATCACGCATCTTTAAATTTCAGGTCTCTGCTAGAAAAATGAAATTATTCAAAGCCTCTTTATCATCTAAAAGTAACTTTTACAAACCATTACCTTGGCTCCTCTGAAATTCTACACAACAAAAAGCTTAAAATTTCTGGATTATAGGAGAAAAATTAAAACACACAAAACCAAATGTTAAAAGTTGTAAATAACCTGATGGATCAAGGACATAATTGAGTAGTCTTAGATTCTAGAAAGGAGAAACATATCATTTGGCAAAAATAAATGAGAAAATATATCATGAATAAAGAAGACTGAACTTGAAAATAATTCAATTTTGCATTTGTACCAGAAGTCCATTTTCAAAGTGTAACTAAAGACCTTGTGTTCTTGGAGCTTCATATATCCTATTCCAGAAAAACACATCATGAGGAAAAGAACCATAGGGACTTAAAGGACAATTTTCAAACCTGAAGGACCATCCATATCAATTGTGAGCTTTTAAAAATACCAGTGCCTTGGTCTAACTAAATTCTCCATAGGGGATTGATTCTAATGCAGCTGAAGTTGAGAATCACTGCATATTCGTACAAGTCTAATTCTTAGTGGTACTAAAAATACTGTTGGCCCATGGCTTTCATTTCACAAAGTTTTAAAGCTTATCTTCCTCAATCTAAATGAATAAACCATAATGAAACATAACGTTTTCTCCCAAGTGCAGGGCAAAATTGAATTAGTATAATGGAGTGGTGAGCATCATGAAGGTCAGGCTACAAAGGAACTGAGATCATTGTAATAAGTAGAACTCAAGGTTGAAATATTTAAGTGTTGTTGCACTATACAGAAGACAGAGGATTTTTTCCCGGGGTGGGGGGGTGGGGGGGGGGCAGGAAATAGTCTTCTAAATATGAATCACAAAAAGCACATAATCCAGAGAGGAAATTAAGGAAAAGGCAAAAACATTTGAAAAATGTTCAATTTCCTTCAGCAATAAAAATGAAAACCAAACTGAAAAAGTATATTTCACATGAATCTAAGTGGGGAAAAAAAGAGAAATGGAAAAAATTGGATATAAAAGTCACTGAGTGACTTTGGGTAAATATTGGGTAAATATAAATTGTATAGTTTTGGTGAGAAAATTGTATAGTTTTGGTGAGAAAATTGGAACTATTTAGAAAAATTAATACTTTGTATCCCCTACTATTTGATAATCTGGACTTAGTTACCTATTCTTTAAAAAGAAAATCTCTCTTAGATCTAAATATAAGGACATCTAATTCATCACTGTTTATAAATGCAAAAATAAGAAAATAGCTAAAAATTTCAATAGAGCAATATGAAAATAAACCATGGTATATCCATATCTTTTGAATATATAATGCAACTGAGAGGAAAAAGATACTTTTTTTTACAAAATATCATAAATAAATACAAATAGACATAAACTGGCTTTATGAAAATCAAATTTCTCTAGATGTTTAAATATGCTTTTCATCCTTTTAAAAGTTCTTCTTTTATATAAAAAGGGAAATCAGCCCTAATCTCCATTTTGTTGAAAATAAAACAAAAACTGTATCTTTCTTTTTTTAAAATTACATTTCATTGGGGTGGCATTGGTCAATATGCACATATAGGTTTCATGTGTGAATTTCTAAGTTACAAAATTACAAAATTTTAGAGAGATTTTTCTGGAACTGTCAGAAACAGAAAAAGCATAGGATGGAAATCAGCTAAGAATATAATGTTCATGGTTGACAATTTTATTTCTAGTCTTTGGGTACACTACAGAAATTAAAAAAAAAACTACTTATTAGTTAATCAGCTAATAATGTGACATTTATCCTAAAACATCAAAATCT